CCCCAAAACCCCAAAACCCCAAAACCCCATGTTGCGCTGTCTCGGTTGATTCATATTCTATAAAATTAATTTGAATACTTCTAAAATAACATGGAGAAAACAATGCACAAATCTTGAGTAAGAATTGCTTATTTTGGGACAAACTCGATATCATTATTTTCTAATATTTCATAACGAATGAACTATTTCAACTAAATCTGCTATCTCACAGTGAAAATTTTCGGTCAAGCTAACTTAAGCTAAGGAGGCAGACTTAAAAACAAGTTTGGCAACTCGAAAGCCGTATTTTATTTAGCTCCTCTCTTCAGTAATGTAAAATACAGGGCTATCTTTGAAGCAAGCCTGAAGACCTGTAATTTCCAGTTCGGTTTATGGAGTTTCCATTCGATATATGAAACATATTTACACACAAGCTTTATAAAAAAAATGTGATAAGTTAGGATTCCTACCTATTTTTTTAAACTGAAGAGAACTCTTACTTGGAACATTCATATGTTTTGGTTTATAACAGTTGTTATAGGAAGAAGAGAAGTCAGATCCCCCTGCAAATGTGGGAGAGGTGTATGATACGAGGAAATTAACTGAAAGAAAGTCCCAGTTTGCAACTTCTTCAGTCATAGGTAACAATTCACTTAATCTTTAATACCCATCTGGTGTTAAAATTTGATTTCCATTTTGGTATTAAAGTCAACATTTGGGTGTCCAAGCTGATTCTGTTGTGCACTTATCCTAAAATATGCTTATAGGTGAGGGAAGGAGAAGAAAGAAAGATGACTATTTTGGACAACATGTATAATTTTTCTAAACTCTAGAAATAAAAGGAACCATAGCGTTATCGGAGGAAGACTAGATAATGAGCTTTCTAATACAGATAATATCATCACTGAAGGAATACTTTCATCAAATGCTCGCATTGGTAACACAATTCTTTAATTATATGTAGTTGGAGGGCTAGAGAGTCTATCAGAAGTTAGTAGTAAATATACAGAAAGATCTAGTACTGCTCTTCGTTCTCCTGAACTAAAAATTCCTGATTACTTACCGGCACAGAGAGAAAAGGATCAAGGCAAGAAGACGCTAGTGCTTGATTTAGATGAAACTCTTGTTCATAGTTCATTCAGGCCTCCTCTTAGAGGAGAGAGACCTCCAAATTTAGTCCTTAGCATCGAATGGGACAATGGCGAGAGGGACTATGTATTTATCAGAATCAGGCCACACTGATTTTCATTCCTTTTGAAAATGACCCAGTTATTTGAAGTAGTCATTTTTACTGCATCAGTTTCAAACTACGCGCTGCCCTTAGTCGAAAAGCTAGATGCTAAGAAATATGGGTTTCATGTGCTTTCCAGAAGACAATGCACCTTACTCAATAACAATTATTTCAAGGATTTAAGCAGGCTGGGAAGAGACCTGAAAGATGTCATAATGATCGATAACAGCCCTCAAGCTTACGCCTGGCAACCTGCTAATGGCATTCCCATTGAATCTTGGTTTGAAGACACTAGAGACAGGGAGCTAAGTAAGCTTGTACCTGTACTGGAGAGACTAGCACAGGTAGATGATGTGAGAAGCTACATTCCAAGGGTAGTTGACTCTCACTCTGTCAATTATTACGAGGCTTTTAGAGTTCTCAAGGCTCCAAGAGAACCTTCACCTTTAGACTCGTTCCTGAAATCATGGAGAAATATTAAGAAAAATGCTGCAGCTTTGTTCTCAGGAAGTTCTGTCACTGAAGGATCTAAAGAAGATGAAGTCTCCAAAGAAGAAGAAGAAAAAGAGCATCCCCAGCTGAATCCTCCAAAGACTTAAAAGATTCAAAATTATTTAAAGGAAGGAATACTATTGGAGGTCCAATCCATCAAGCCATGCAACAAAGTTTAATGCTTTCACCTAACCAAAGACCCGTAATGATTAAATTAGCTCCAAAGCTTACACTCATAAATAAAAGTGGGTCTGAGAAAATAATTGATACTGAGAATCTGGACACCATCAGTGAATATAGAGATATATGAAACGAGCTAATCTCTGAAGAGCCCAAACCATTAAAGCTCAGATACTCAGATCCAACATCGGTGCCTAAGTTTGAAAATGACCAAGAAGATATAAAAATAGTCAAAGAATTCAACTCGATCAACTCTGATGAACCAAAGTCCTCATCTGGCAAAAATGATGCAGAGACTAATGATTCTGGCTTCAAGTTATCAGGTGTTAGCCAGGATAAAATTTCTGAAGAGAAGAAAGACTCACAAGGAACAACTCCATCAAGGTAAGTCGGCACTTTAAATTAGTAGTGGCCTACCCAAGGGAAATTTGAAAAACTCCTCTGAAAAATCTGAGAAATCCTCCAAGACACTTCCAAAGGAAGAAGATTACCAAAGTGAAGAAGATAGTATAGGAGAAGGTAATGCTTGATCAATGACTTTAGACACCCCATTAGCTCAGATGATCCATAACTCCAAGCTCAAGACACACTTTTTAGAAATGAAGGTTCTAAAAACTCCATCATCTGAAATCAGGTTGAAAAATAAAAGTAAATTAGAATTGTAAACCAACTAGAAGTGAGGAAATAACATTCCTCAGCCAACCAATGACAAAAATAGCTTAGATAATGGAGATGACTCTGCTGAGAGCCCTTATACTGACCAAGGAGACTTTAATATCTCTTTAGCTGTGTACAACTCTTACACAGTAAGAAGAGAAAGGAAGAAGAAATCTCTCGAATGCAGCACTTCTGGAACTAAAGCTAACTCTGCCCTAAAACCTCCTAATTTGGTTGAAGCTCCTTCTCAAGAGGAGTCTAAGCAATTCCTTGGTGCAGTGAAGCCTGGCAAAGATACTGTAAGTTCTTGTCTTGATAATTATAGAACATTCATGAGCGTAACAAAAGAAATATCATTAAAAGAGTTGTAAAGCAAAGCAAGAGTGACATTAAGCCCTTAGAAGTTACAACAGAGAAAAAGCCAACCTCTTCTCAAATCCTGAGGAAGGTCTTGCATAAACCTAGGTCTGATGTAAAGAAAGGTATAAAAAAACCTTTTGAAATTCCCAGAAAAAGTGAAACTTCACACACTGAAATGATCCGAGAGTCTAAATGGCTTTCAAATAAAGGTATAATTCAAAATTACCTTTAGTTCACCAACCTAAGATGCACAAGAATGGGAAACTTAATAAAAACATGTTCAGAAAGATTAAGAGTACTCAAAGGTATATTCACAAAGGAGCCTCGAAGAATTACCCAAAGACGATGCATTCTACAAACTGGAAGGGATCCAAGCCTATTATCCCATACTTATCTTCAAAGAGCATGAGCGAATCATTGAATAAGTTTTGAGCCCCAAGAGAGCATAAAACTGCTCCTCGTATAAACAAGCCAAGGTATTTCTCTTTATTAATTTCTTAGAAGAGAGTCCAAACAAGATTCAAAGATTTTGAGTCTAATTTACGGCAATGCAACTGAATCTCCAACTGGAAGAGGCCAAAAACACCTTAAATTCAGCCAGGTGCAAAGAAAATAGTGTATATTTTTACACAGAAGATAATTATCATTTATATTATCTGTGGTTATATTTCCACCACTCTGTCGTCTTCTGGGGTTTTGGGGTTTTGGGGTTTTGGGGTTTTGGGGTTTTGGGGTTTTGGGGTTTTGGGG